GCAACTCATAATTTTATTTCACTTAAATATCCCTAGACCTCCTTTAATGTGTATTGTAAGTCGAATTTCGTAATAAGAATTTACGTTTATACGTTTTTTTTTGCGTGTTAAGGGGTGAAAACGTTTTTTTTTTTTTTTTTTAATTTTTTTTATTAACCATGTCTTTTATTTGGCAACCACGCGTTACATACCCCGCTTACAAGTCGGTGCTCTATAATCTTTTTTATTTTTTACTTTCTCACTCAGACTTACAAACGGCTCCAGTGCACTTAAAATATCATGTCGTGTTTCGTCCTTTTGATCTACAACAGCTTTTGTGGTTTCGCTTTTACTTATCCTTTTTGCCCGCGGACATTTTTCGAGTCGTCATGTATATTTGTATAGCACAGATACTTTGATTATCTGTTTGTAATATCCTACGCGTGACTCCTTCATTTTTCATAAAACCGAATTGTCACAGTGCACACTCTTCGAGCTTCCCAACTTTAACCACATTGTTCTTATAACTTTTTTTTGTTTTACATTCGAACAATAATAATCGTATCGCGGCTTATCCGTTCGCTTTCGGCAGTCAAGACGACATAAACGAGGTACCTGTTCATATATTTTTTTCATTCAATAAACTCAGTCGAATGAGTAATTTTTTTTTTTTATCAACTTCTCATGAATTCACAATCGTGTCGACGCAAGTATATTATAATACACCGTAACATCTGTTATTCCGGGCGTTTTATCCAGTGAATATATTATTTACCGACTTATGCGTCGATGCGTTTACCAGTTCACCGAGGTTAATATAATATTGTAATACGGTTTTAACATCAGACATTTTTTTATTCGAAAAATATAAGTACATAACTGAGATTTAAAAAAAATAGCCATATAGGAGACTAAAAAAAATCGGTTAACTTAAATATTGAATAGCACTTCCGGTTATCACCTGCATTTACCTACTCGTCTCTTCTATTATAGTAAGCTAATAATTCTTTTTTTTTCTAATCCCAAATATCTTTCATCCTACTTCTCTAATCCTGTCTTTCAGCCTCGTAACTTCTACCTCGTATATTTGTTTGGTGTATCCGATCTCGATTCTGTTCTTTTGTCGATTTCGCGATGTTTTCTGATTTACTCGACCCATAAACGCGTAATACATTTTTACATAATTTTTACTTTTAAAAACTTGTTGCAATAAAATATTATTATTATAATTAATATACAGCAATAAATATTGGGAAAAATACCACGAATACGAAAATAAATATATGGTACTCGGTACAAAAATTGTTAGTTGGTCTAGCATTGCCACATTAGTAATCTTAATTACTCAAGTATAAAGTATACCGATTATCAATAATAATACAAAGGCGTCTTTGGAGCGTAACTAGAATGATTCGAAAACCATGTTAAAAAATTTACGCGCATGCATTTTGGGGCCGAACTTTATATTATGTTCGAGCCTTAGTCCGATCGCTTTTGAAAATTAAAAATAGAGCTGTTTTATGTTGGGCCAAAGTTCAGTTGTCAAACCGAATGAATAAGTACTTCATCGCATAAATTAAAAACTACACTAACTATAATTTTAGACATAAAATGAGCTGTGTTCAGTTATTGGGGCTCCTTAAAATGTATTTCGCCCGACTTCAGTGCAACTGGTGCTAATATAGTTTATTGTTAGTGATTACATACTATAAAAAAAAGTATGTTAAATTATCCGTCTAATTAACATAAAGGCGTACTAAAAGCCTACCTAAAAATAGAACATGAAAACATGTTTTGATTCAAATTAAGACTTGAAGGCCACATGCATGCACTCTGTGTTTTTTTGCTCAAACATACGCTTTATAGGGAAAAATCTTATCCAAATAGTAGAGTGACTACTATTTTGGTAGTCTTTTATTTATCGGAATAAGACAAATGACGTCATGCAAGAAGCAACCATCGGGTATAATAATTTAATTTGTTTGGATATAATTGAGATTTCAGTTATCAATGATGACTTGTGAGTTACATCTATAATATACTATAAATATATAATTATATATATAGCTTATTATTATTATTATTGAAATCTCATTTTTACAATATCTTTGGACGATTTCGTTCTACATAACGCCATTTAATTGTTGACAATATCCTGTAAATGTAATTTATCATCCATAATCCCTCGTTATCTGACAGTCTATTATGATTACGTATACCGATATATTTAATAAAGGACTAAGAACTAAAAAACGACTAATTATTCGGGTAAATTAAAACCATTAAAAAAGTAATTAAGTTTTCTGCTGAATTTTTTATTATAATGAATACCAAAAAAAAAAAAGTTATTGTGCTATCGCTAACGTCGTCGTCGTCGTCGTCTGTTTAAATAAAATCCAAGAAAATAACAACGATATTATATGCAACAGAGTTAATCTCGAACGCGTCCCATCGGATAGAAACGTGAAACGCGTTCGATTCTTCGTAGATATATTATTAAATTTCTATTTTCCGACTCTTTCCTTTTGCAGCAGTTTTAATATCGTATATAATATCCGACGATAACTTAATGTAAAATAAAATTTATGAAACAAATATAAGTAGCTGACGCCTATGCCTATAATATAATATTGTATAGAAAAAAAAACACGATGTTATTATAAAATAGTTATTTATAATAATAATAATAAAAAAAAAAAAAAAAACAAATAACAATGCGTATTTTATTATGATATTTCATAACGCACATGGCGTTTATCCCACCGATACCGTAGGAAAAATAAATTATATACGAACGAGTATTAAAAAAGAATAGACTACTTTTTTTTTTTTTTTATCGAATACGCTTCATTTTGAATAATAAAACGGTTTTTAAACGAATACACGTATAATTTACCGTAATACAACTGAACACATTACTATGCTGTACTATCTACTATGTCTGGTAGACGTTTAATAATTCGACATTCTACATGTTCGTTGTTTTTAGTATTTATTCGCTTCATTATACGTTTTTTACAGGGCCATAATAAAATTTAGGTTTCTTTAGTACCTACGGAACGTGGTTTAAATGTTGTGTATTTTTGTAAACCACGGATCATTTACATTAGACGATTCGATTCAGTGGCGTATTAACGCCATTTATCTTTTCCCTTGATTCATTCAGTATTTATTATTTATATGATAACTTATTTTAGATTCGGATCGTAGTGAGAAATGTATTGGTTTTACAATGATTTTTTAATTTTTTTTTAACTATGAACACATTTTCTACCAAAAATATTGTTCCGATTTTGAAGTGTTGTACCTTTACTAAACGGAAATTTTATCATGGTGGTACTTTTAGGAAGTAATATTTTTATTTCCCGAGCGGTTGGAATAATCATTCGAAAACACTATGAAAAATTTAAGAAAAATGGGAAAATTAAAGTACATGTATAAAAGAAACTTCGGTCCAAATCGTTTTTCGTTAGCAATGGTCTATCGTTGTGTACAAATTCCACCTTCTCAACTTCTCACCTATAACAGTAGCTCACATACTATGTGAAGTATGTTCTTCTTTTTAAATTCAAATTTCTTTACAATTTAGTAAAATAAAAAAATTCAACAATTTAATGATACCTATAATAATTATGCTAAAAAAACCTGAACATATACATTTTCTTGTTTTCTTGTAACTAAGTAGGTACTTAGTAATTTAATTTCAATGATAATTCAATATGCTATTGTCAAATATAATCAAATTATAAAGTTCTTACAGTAATAAATAAATTAAAAATGTATCTTTTTTTTTGCTTTTGTACTCATACAATGTGAACAAATATCCAAATTCGCACGAAATTTTCATGAATGTTCGCTGATTCGTTATATTAAACCATATACAGTTTTATAATTATATTTCAGATATTTTCTGAACTTTTTTTCATAAACTTTGATAATCCAACATTTTAACGGATTGGTTATTAATATAATACTTCTTCGTCATTTTTTTATCACACTACGTGTAATACGAATCATTAAATTAATGGATTTAATATAATTAGCTAATTAACAGGGCTCAAATATAATAGCACTAAAAAAATTAACGTTTAATATTTATTAATATTTTATTTAATATTATGTAATTAAAATCACCAAAATAAGCGCTTAAAATAGAACTACAAATTTTAAAATACATTAAATAAAATTTCTCAATTTGACACTCAACATTTAACACCTATAAGGTTACATTTAAAAAAAAAAAAAATCTTATACGTCTTTACACGATAAGAGATAATAATAATAAATAAAGACGAATAACAACAAACGAAAATACAAGAATTTTAATAAATAATTAAAACTGAATAAGTTATAGTAATATATATTTATATGATATTATTTATTTTATATTGTATTTTTTTGGAGTTCCGGAACTACACAATAAAAAGCGTTCATTTCTGCCCAAATTTCGACGCGGTGCTCTTGAATGCTTGCGCGAATCCCGTGTTTCTTTTTTTCCGAAAATAATAGACAACGTCATAAACAAGAGATTATATCTCGTAAACGTTCTCGTCTAAAAATGTGACGCGTTACGTAAAACTGTGAATTTGCCGCCTTTGACCATATTAATATTAATCTGCGGTTCATCACGTGTAGTTCCCCGTCTCAATGTCCCGCACGGGGAGTTGCAGTGTTTACCAGAGATTTTAATTAATTTAATTAAAATACTTTAGTCTTTTATATATACGTCGAGTATACTATGCGTCAAAAATCGCAGGGATACCTAAAACTACTGTACCCGCCAGCTCTGTCGTTCTCGAGACGATATTTCCGGGGACGATATTAACGGTGACGAAAGAATTCGACACGTTCGGATCGCACCGGGTCGGTCCTTAAAATTTTCCGGTCAAAATACCTAAAGAAAAATAGAGGTCCGGGCATACAAGTACTACAATGGACAGACGGCTGTTGTAGGCGGGAGATTGGAAATACATTTAGAATATTGAATAATTTAATTTAAAAAACATGTTGATATCATTTGATTACTCATCGGTAGACTTCTTCAACGCGTACCGGTCGTAGACCGCTTGGTATTCTGTCCAGCCATTCATTTTAAAAAATTTCATTTCCGCTTCCTTGCTTCGGTCCACCGCCGGCAGCCATAGTTTTGATCTAATTACCCCGTAATGGGAATTGTATGGATTCGTGTACGACCGCTCCGTGACAGTCGACAGCTCTTCCATGAGTTCCATGACGCGTTTCCATTCACGATTAGACAAATCTTTCAGGCCTTCGTCTGCCATCTTAAACGTGCAATACCTGTGGGTTGGAAAACGTTTCGCCATAATGATATGTCATCGTGACTAAAGGGATCGAATTTTCGGAGAAAATCGTAAAAACTCGACTTTTTCCAGTAGTCTCAGTAGGTAATATGAAATAACCGCTTACCGTCCTTCATCAATCCTCAGAAATCATCACCATACTAAACCGCCATCGTTTAAACCTTTCTCGATCCAATTATGAAAATGAAATTGAACATAACAAAGAGACTTAGTATGAAAATAAAACTCACGATCTTTTGCAGGCTAATTATAGTGCCCCCCCCCAAAAAAAAAAAAAAATGGAAAAATTAAAGAATTCTAAAATAATACGTTCACAAAAAAAAACCGTACACATAGAACATAAAATAATAATTATTATTTTTTCGAATAAAATACGAAATTTTAGAGTATTACATTGCACACTATTGTTAGGTTATAGATCCAGATTCAATTGTTGCTTAATTTGTACCTATAATAATATTATTATTTCTATTAAACTGTTGAACCGCTAAAATAGACTTTCCGCATGCCCTTACAATAGCGGGTAATTAATGTACAGCCACAATTTGTTTGTCAATACCACAACAATATTATCGCTGTAAACCCGTTGTAATCGATGGGACTGCTGCAGCAGTAACGTTCACCGAACTGCTAAGGATGTATAAAAATAAAAAAACACCACTCTAATTGAAGATCCAAATTATTATTGTACGAGTACGATGAATAATATTGTGGGGAAAATAAATAAACTATCCCGTAATTGGACGTATTATATATATATTATCATATTATCAGCGCTTTTTGTTTCCGTTCGATTGAACCTTTTTTATGACGTCGTAGTCGGAACCCGTATAATTTACCCGTATGAAAAAAAACAATAAAATAAAAACTGACGTTTAACTGCGAATAACCTTGACCTATTTCGAAACAAGGGGGAGGCACCGTTGTGGATGAGAATTAGTAGAGGATAGATATTATTTTATATAAGTTATAAGGGTAAAGATATTTCTATGTATTTAAAACTAGGTGAATTATTCCGGACTTTCCGGGCTCAATCCTTTTAAAAACGGAAGTTAATAAAAGAAATTTAATTTCACGCGTCTCCCCGTTTCTTGTCTATGACAACCAACTTAAATTAAATAACTATTTTTTCGTCTATGTCGCCTAGAAGGTAACTCATAAATCAACAAAGAATTCAATTTTCATTCCAATATTACCAAAAACCCTTTTCAGTGAACTGTTAGAATACATCAGAAAAATACTCATCAATCTGTTTCGTATAATCCGGATAAACTCAATAACCGGTGACCGAAACTGTAAAAATAAACGGTTTTTAACTGGTAACCAGTTAAATATTTGGAATTTACAAAAACAACCGATTTTCGGGGACCGATTCTCAATTTCAACAGTTTTGAACCCTAGTTCTTGAGTTTGAGCTCATTTGGTCCAGAGAGAGCAGTTAAAATAGTCGCTGAATTCGCGGAGAATTTGATCAAAACAAACATTTCTGCGAAAACTCATTCCGACCACAAACAATATTCTCGTGTTATGAGTCTGTGAGTAACGAATATTAATTATAAATCACTGCGTGTCCGGCCCGATAAGCGTACTTCGTTTTTTTAAAAATTATAATATATACCAATAGTCCATCACGATATTACAATATTTTATAATATTATAAAATCATTAAACCTGTGTGTAAAAAATATATAATTATACGTACACACCGATGTATAGTCACTGTTATTACGCTATTATCGTGTTATCGTTATATTATTATTATTGTTTTATCTCGGGAGTTCATAACGTCTCGGGATCGTCTATCCACGTCGAGAATATAATAATAATATCACATCAAACTAGAAGGCGCGGTGTATCCGAGCGATTACACTCGGTCGCGTGTAAAGTACCGGAGGATTTTAATTAAATTAATTAAAACCGCAGACGATATCCGACGACGTCGTCGCCGTCGCCGTCCGGACAAACGCTACCGGTAAAACAATGCGCGGGAAAGAGCCGATCCTCCGCGCACACATAATAATAATATATTATTATTATTACGTCCGATAAGAGAGCGGTCGAAACGAACCGCGAGTGCGTTTATAACAACATAATATAATGCACTTTATATAGAATAATTAATATTATTTATTATTATTACACGCGAAACAACGTTAAAATGCCGTTTAGACGTTACAATAATTATTATAATATCTACTCTGTGGACCGCGCGCGATATTTTAACAAAATCTCTTTATCTCGGACGAATAAACGTTTAGACGGGACGTCGGACGGTTCTTATCGGCGCCAGTGGCGCAGGCATTAATGTTACTGCCCCAGGACACCGAAATCGTAGGTAATAACGACCTACTGCGACACGTATTTCGTGTATAATACTAAAGTTAGGCGTGTTGTTAATTACTACAACGAAATGGAAAAAGTAGGTATTTCGAATGCGATTGATAGCCGTACTTTAAATTTCTGTACGATTTGAACCGCGAAAAACGTTTCGAAATAAATATATCCCGGTCAATAAATCTAGCGCGTGAAATTTGAACTCGCACCGGGAGGTGCTTATAAATTTTTAGCTTCCCGCCGCTATAGGGTCTTACCACCGCGATAGCAAACAAAAAAAAAAAATCCATTTTTCTACATTTCGAAATGCTACAGACAAAACTATTCGAATTTGATGTTATGTAATATTTTTGCCCCTCTCCGGGGGTTTTTCTTATAACGGGAGAAAACATACACCCATACCGGTATTGCGGACGTAACACTTAAATAGTATTACTGAAATGCGTAGCAAATAAGAAAACTCGATAATCGATAACTTAAGATCTCCGATTCAAAGTCTATAATTTTTAATACAGTTAAACGACTGCGCACTACAAATAAGCATTTTGAAAATTTAAATATTACAATAAGTTTACTTCAATTGGTATTCAGTAATATTGCTCTTCAGTTCTGCGGGATTTTCGTGGCCGTCAGGATGTACATTGTAGGATAATATATTGTTGTGGTCAGTCGGTGAAGAGACTCTCAGCATCCTGAACGGATTTGCTGTGTCGGTTCCTCCACACTTTTCAGGCATTTTTTTCGGCATTTTTTAAAAATATTTTCTCGAATAAAAATATAGATAATCTGTAGGTAATCAAACAACGACGACGTTATTATAGAAACGCGTAAAGTGAAACCTATCTCGGTTAGCTGTTCAAGCCGTTTTTCTGTTTTAAGCCAACACTCGCCAATCGGCGTTCAATAATTTCAATTACGAAATTGAAATTATTTCCGGACGTTTTAAAGTTTTATTGTAACTCTGAAAGTTTTTCCTCGTGCCGTTTTTTAGACAGTTTTCAGTGTACTGCAGATCCGTATTATTGCATTTAAATAATTCGATGTGATCGTTCCGCGTAGGTGCAGTTGGTCAGTATCGACGGCTCATCCGTGTTTTGTATATGAGATTTAGAACGTAGCGATATATATTTATATATATATATATATATGTGTGTGTGTGTGTGTGTGTGTGTGTGTTACGGGTAAAGTAGGAAATCCGGGCGTTGTGCACAATTTGAGCAATTTTTTTTAACACTTCAATTTCGCCTACATTGATCGGGCGTTGTACGAGAGTGCCCGGTTATTGTGCAAGATGCCCGAAATCAAGTGGGTACGTTTATATCGAATGCAATTTATACATAATAATTGCCTATACTTACAAACCCGTTTTATTCGTTTGATATCGCGACTCACGAAATACCTATTTAATTTATTTAAGGAACAGATATCTAATTTTCGTTATTATTAATTTTATTCAATATTTTAATGTATTTAATATTATAAATAAAAAATAACATAATACTATGTACCAAACATTACATTTTATTAACACTTACATAATTCAATGGATACTAGTTTTTAATACTATTAATAGAAAACTAATATTTGAGGCGTCTGTTGCAAGTTTTTATGTTTTTAAAGTACCTAGTAAGATGTTTCATTTTATTTTTAATATTTTCAATTTGTTATCTACGATACCAAAATCTAGTTAGGCACTGCAAATGTTTGAAGTAGTTATAATTTCGATGAAAATCGTAATAATCGGGATATTTCGCGTACAATTTTTCATTTGAATATAATTTTTCTGGTCAAGAAAAGTGTTTTGATGTTTATCGAAATACTTTTTACGTTTTTCTTCAGCAAACATTTATTTTCTTATTTATTCTACTATTTTAGATGCCCATATCTACAACAGTGGTGCGAAATATGCCGTTTATTTTTTTTAATCTATCGACTGTTCGCGTAACTCATCGACATATTATTATAATAATATAATGATATTTTATGAACGTCATCGTTCGGTATACTATAATATTATATAGAAATATTCGAGGATATGCATTATAATGTAGATGATTGCATAGCGTATTGCAGTCACAAGCGTTCGAAAACTATTTTACCGTTTCGGTCGAATATTATACACACGGAATTTAATCATATCACATGAAATTTTATTTTTTCACCGTTTACATAAATGGAAAAATTGTTTAAAAACATGGTGACGGCGCCATACCTGCAGCTCACCGAATGAATGAACAAAATGTAATGAAAATACTAATAGACTGTCTCGCGAAACAATTTAGGATTTTAACCGTGTTACTCGGAAAATAAAACAATGTTATTAATAATTACAAACGTAACAGAATAATAATATTATATAGGTAATATTTTTACTCGCATATGATAGGATTTAATATTATGATAAATAATTATTACTCGCTTAATGATAGGTTTTTTTTTGTGTTTTTAACAGAACTTATGTAAAAAAAATTAACAATAATTTTCGCTTCGACCGTAATTACTTATTATCTCGGTTTTTTTTTAAAATTGTTTTAATCTTAATTGAAACGTGACAAAACTGACAAAGATCCGGAACTATTTTACGCCAAAAATAAAACACCGTTTTTCTCCGCCGTGTCCATTCCTCTAAATCAGTGGTAACCAATCTCTTTTTACAGAGGGTCATAAATAATAATAATAATTCTTGGTAGTCCAAGAATATAAACTTAAGTTAATAGAATATAGTATTTTGTTTTAGGTACACTTTAATATAGGTACAGTGATATATTTCATTATTTATTAAGAATTGATTGTTATAAACGAGAAAAAAAAGTAAAGTAAAAACATAAATTTTTTTAATGTGAGTGTTTTAAAATTTGAAATGTCACTGTCGTTTTTATTTTATTATTAAAGATTTCATAACATGATGAATATGTTACACAAAAAATAAATACAACGTTGTTAGTTAAAATAGTTTCAACAAAAGTAGTTAACATTTATTTTTTCGTTAACGGAGTAAAATGAACGGTGGTTGGAAAATGATACCAGCTACATTTACTTATACCTTACTTTTAACGGAAAATAGCTATAGTCGACAGAAGGATCTGGATCTTTGATTTCATTTGACGTTTTCTGCAGATGGACGCTCGTGTTGATATTCGTATATTTTTAATTTAGCGGTTTTCTTTTTTCTTAGATGTCCAGGTTTTCTTAAAAAAAATTCAATACGATTGATACTCGGTCCACCCGACGCCTATCTATTACAATCTTTTTTCGTTTTCTAGACTATAATATTTAATAAATCTTATAGAAAATAATAACACGTTGACCGTTTTAAACCGAAATATTTTGTTATTTTTCCTAATAATTTGATCAAATAATATTCAATTTATATTTGTAATAATATATTTTAAAAAAGTTTAAAGAAAAAAACGTATTTGTTTTCATTTTGCGGCCCTTCATACGGCCTTCATACAAATTTCAATACACTCTGCGAAGTAACAACAATATAAAGGCGGACCACACACATGCCCACACCGATCTATATACTATAATATGTATAGACGAATGAAAAGAGCCGTTCATATTATACGAGATACAGATTAATGTTAAAAAGATGACTTTCGTTCGGTTCACGAACATTTATACAACAATGCCGCATTGTTCGGAAAGTTCATAAAAATGTGACAATAAGAACAAAAAAAAAAAAAAAACGTTCCGATAGATTTAGTCCGAATCAATCATTTCTGCGGCGAGTGTTTTTTTATATTACATTTTTTTTTTCAGTCGTGTCGGCGACGACCGGGCTTATTATTCACAGGATTTTTCACTGCACCGGAGAAAGACAAAGAATCGCACGTCCTTTTCGGTTGGATATTATTTTAAGGGTTGTTGGGAAATGTAGGGTGTTTTTTTTTTTAGTCGTTTTTACTATTCGCCGACTAACTCAGATTTCTGTACGTGCAGTATAATATCCAATACGCAGCCGGTGTAAAATCAAAAACCACCGGGGGAGAAAAAAAATCCTTTGGTCAGGAGTGATGCCTACGGACTGCAACAGTGTCCCAAGAGACGAGTGCGAGATCCGGATCGTCGTCGTCGTCTCGTGTGTCACCGGAATTCACAAACATTTCTTTCTCGACGACGACATTCAACATGACGTAATATCCGTTCACGCGATCTGAATAACTACTGCACAGGCGTTGATGAATAGTACGTACGTATTTGCGCGAATTTCTCTCGCATTTGAATAATTGAGTTATTATTCGATAAAAAAAAGTCTCCCGTGTACGTGCGCGCAAACGCATCACAAAGGATCGCGTGTCGTTACTGCTACCGTTTGATGGTCTTTTTAGCGAATTTGTTTTTTTTTAAAAATAAATTTATATAAATATATAATAGCAGACCAAGCTAAGGTAATATATATTAAGTAAAATAAAAATTTAATAAAACTACTAAAATAAAGAATTTCAATGGTGGGTCGGCAAGACATTTCATTTGATGAAGATTTGTATTTTGGTACATGGGTTGATTATCTTCAGTGAAGCACCTTGGGATATACGATATTTTTCATCCTATTATCAGGTGCAAGAACAAATAAAGCGGATGATGCACCGAGACGTGAACACGCCACGCACAATTGACCATGAGAAAAACTTATGAACCGTACGGCATTCTTCTAATAATGTGGTCATCATTTAAGAAGAAGCAACTGCTACAGCAATGTCTGATCTCACACGAACAGTGGCCAAAATCAATAACACGAAGAATGTTTTCCCAATAAAAATAAACCACCATTTCCATCATAAATTGCCTTTATTAATGTATCATATCCTTTCGTTGGGAGTTCAACATGGGTACATTCATTTGAACTTATTGGACTAATTCATGTCGATCGTATTCACGTTCACGCTCCAATTATAGATTAAATGTCATTCATTCCACGATCTGGCACTGGCATTCCTAACCTAAAAAACTGCCGTATATGAGGTAACATATGTCTTCGATCAAGTGTAAAGCCTAGTTATGCATCTCCTCGTTTTATTTTTTAGATAAATACAGAGATCTAACAAACTACATTTGAGCAATTTTTATTTCTTAAATCTTATCTTTTAAAGATAATGAACATTTTTTCTTTTCAACATAAATTACATTGAATTTTGGATTAAATCCATGTTCTTCGATAATGTGTGCTCCAAATGAAGTCATTTGAAAACAGGCATTATATATTCGAATGTTCACTAGAAAATGTCGTGATTTTTGCGTTTCGCCAAGAAGTAATGAATACTATGGCCCAGATGGTGGAGTCAATAATGGTAATTTCACTTTGCCATTAAGGCAACACAATCCAGGGGTAAACCTTAAACGATTCCACAATAATTGAAAAATAAAAGAAATCAAATTCGGTTAAAATCAGCAACATTTAGAAATTAAGTATCCGATGAGTTTGATAAATACGTTTACGCGTATCTTCAACCGACTCACAAAACAAAACTCAAGAAAGGATCGATCTTCGGCTACCTACTATATTATTCTACACTGCTCGGAATCGTTTATTGATCTCAATGACTTATCGTCGCCTTCAGTACATAAATTAAATTACCCTGTAGATCATATGTGTAGACACCGTTCAGACTTCCCACCTTATTATTACTTCGATGGCCTACTCGCGGTGGTGTGTGAAGTACTTCCGGCTTTTTTATTATTGATATTTGTATGCAGCGGAGTATGACTCAAAAGTATGAGTATGAGCACCAAAATATCGTTACA